GCACCCTACCACCCTATACAAACCAGCACCCTACCACCCTACACAAACCAGCACCCTACCACCCTACCCCCAGCCCCCACTGCCACCCACCACTTCCCCGCACCTCGGGCCGCCCCCAGACTTCTCCCTAACCCCTGTGCTCCCCTCCCTTGGCAGATATCTGTTGGCAACGAGCGCCCAGCCAGTACCGGGACTTCTACTACCCGCTGTCCATGGGGGGCTTCGTGCGCTGCGTCACCGCCTGCACGCCCAACACGCCCGACACCATGGACTGCCACTACGGCCAGTGCCACGTCACCCGCGCGGGGCCCCAGTGCTTGTGAGTGTCTTGATGCCAGCAGGGCCTAAGGCACTGGTGGACTGGTGGGCTCCAGACTGGTGGAGCCCCTCGCCAGCCCCAGGGACAGGTCAAGGGGCGATCAAGCTTAACCCACGTCTCCTTGCTTGCCCCACAGCTGCCAGGATGAGTCCATGTACTGGTACACGGGCAGCAACTGCTCCCAGCGGGTCAGCAAGCTGGCCACAGGGCTGGGGCTGGCGGCCACCCTCCTGCTCATCGCCTGCGTCGTGCTCATCRTGCTGCTGGTCAGGGCCCGCCGAAGGAAGTACCAAGTCAGGTAGGAAGGGCCCAGGTGCCAGGGTTCACCGGGCATGGGGAGACTCGCGGACTCTGGGTTGCCCTCAAGCTTGGGTCTTTAAGGGGAGTCTGTCCACGTGTGGGCACCTGGGCTCCAGGTCTGGGCGATGGTCGCCGTCTTTCTGCTGGGCCTTGGCCCTTTGAGACACCCTCTCAATGCTCTCCACAGCGAAGCTCACTCGGACTTTGGAAGCAGCTGGTACGAGGACGAGGGCACCACCTGGAGCTCTCCTGATGGCTTCATCTACCAAAACCGAGGAGCCACTGACTTTGGAGGTGAGACCCGGCCCCAGCAGGGCGGCTTTGCCTTGGGCTGCAGCCAAYGGATGGGCTCAGCAGGTCCCTTCCAGCTGGGACAAAGCCAGGGTTGAGTCCCGGCCTGACCATGATTCAGGCGGTGGCCGGGACGTGTCCCAGCCATGACGCACAACACGGGGCGTCTCTCCCGTTAACCCGGGTCATGCGGCTAAGGCCGGTACTTTCCRTCCTCTCCTCCCAGGACGTGACACCCTTCGCAGCTTCCAGCCCTCACTGGACCTGGTGGATACCTCCGCCCCGGTAGGTGACCCCTCTCCTTGGAGAACGTCCCCATCCTCACCTGAGGACTCCGGGGAGCAGAAGGTGGCCTCGCACAAGGAGGCTACGTGTGCCCCCTTCTCACCCACCTTCTGCCCCTCTTCTCACCCACCTTCTGCCCCTCTTCCCACCTTCCTCCACAGATACACATTGAGAGACCAACGCTCATGACCAAGCTGTGAGCTCGCCCTGGGACTTCGGTCCCGCTTGTAGCCACCAACCCGAGCACGAGGAAGGCCAAGGGGCTGGGAAAAAAAGGAAAAAACAGAAAAAAATAGTCTGGAGCCGCCTGGGGAGAGAAAGATCCTCGCCATGGACTGTGGTAACCCCCAGAACGGGTTCCTCCTCCCACTGGTCCTGGCCTCTCCAAGGCCTCCCCCGGAGCCGGAGGGAGGGACAGATCCTCCYGCACCGCCAGCACTCCGGGAATCCCTTGGGGAGACTCCAGCCCCTCGGGGCGACACGGATCCGTCCATGGAGGCTGGACCACCCAAACGGAGGAAGGAGCCCTGGGTGCTGCTGCGTGGCRCCCGGCGCGCGGGACGTGCCGAGAGCCAGGAGCACACGTAGGCGCGGGGCAGCCGCTTACGTCTTATTTATTATTTATCTATGTACGGAGCACGCGGGTTCGGCGCTATTAATTAATCACGCTATACGTGCCTCGCTCGCGCTACGAACTCCCCACGGGGCGAGTTTACAGCGGGGGCAATAAAACCGCCCCAGACTGTTGCTTCTACAGCTTGTTGTTGCTACCGGGGCAATAAACACGGAGCAGAGCCACGGGTCAAGGCCAAGGAGAAGCGATAAAAGGGAAGCCAGAGGAGCAGAGCTCATTGGAGTGACGTGAGACCTCAGGGGGGCGGAAAGCCCTTTAGATAGGAAGGGGGCTGGAGGAGCAGTAGGGGGGTCTCTGGAGGGACCGTGACGCTGATGGGGCGATTGCGCCCCCCCCGGCCCTGCTGTCAACGCCTCCTTTGCACCCAATAAAGCTCCTGTTGTTGTTGCTCCTGTAATTGTTGTTTGCTTTTTTTACGGCTGTTTTCGCGCCGTTGCCCGGGGTTGTTCCTCCTGGGATATTTATAGACGGGAGATAGCCCGTTTGGGCCCGGCTTTGCTTTCCAAGGAAGCCGCCCACGTGGCCGGTCAAGGCATGGGTGCCCTTGGCTGTTGTCCCCATGCAAAGGTCACCAGATAGGGCGGTTGATAGGACACCGCCCCGGTTGGGCGCTTCGCACTTTGGGGAGGACCCACYGGCACCCTGGGAGCTCGCTAGGGAGCGTGGGGCAGCTGGGATGGCATGGGTTGGGGGGTAAAACCACGCTCTGGGGGGTGTCTGGCACCAGGACGCACTGGGAGGCACTGGGGAGCACTGGGAGCCTCTGGAGAACAGGTTGCACCCAGGACGCAYKGGRWGCACTGGAGAGCACAGGGACACTCTGTGGAGTGTCTTGCACCAGGATGCACTGGGGAGCACTGGGAAGTACTGGGACCTTCTGGAGAATGTATCGCACCCAGGACACACTGGGAGGCACTGGGCAGCACTGGGAAGTACTGGGATGCCCTGGGGAACAGCTTGTACCCAGGACACATTGGAAGCACCGGAGAGCACTGGAGAGCACAGGGACACACTGGGGAGTGTCTGGCTCCACGACACACAGGGAGGCACTGGGGAGCACTGGGAAGTACTGGGGAGCACCAGGAAGTACTGGGATGCCCTGGCGAACAGTTTGCACCAGGACACACTGGGTGCACTGGGGAGCACTGGGAAGTACCGGGGTGGTGCAAGGGGCGCTTTGCACCCAAGACGCCCTGGGAGGGCCCGGGAAGCCCCCGCGACGCCCACGGCAGCCGGGAAGCACCGGGAATGCCCTCGGGAACACCGGGGCCCCCCCGGTACGGGGTTGGGGTTCATGGGGTCCCACAAGGGACGGGGGAGGTGGGAGGTCCTGGAATGGGCCCCCATGGGGGGCCAGTGACCCGGGTATGGGGGAGTCCCTGGAAAGGGCACTCCTGGGGGACCAGAGATGGGGAGAGGACATCAATGGGTGAGGAGGGGTTCCACGAGGGACTGGGGAGTTGGGGGGTCCTGGAATGGGTCCCCATGGGGGGGCCAATGACCCGGGTATGGGGGGGTCCCTGGAAAGTCCCCATAGGGGACTGGAGATGGGGAGAGGGCATCTATGGGTGACCTAGGACCCAGGTATGGGGGGTGCCTGGGGAGGGCACCCATAGGGGACTGGGAATGGGGCTGGGCCACGGAGGGCACCCATGGGGGGGCAGGGATGAAATCTGTGGGTACCCGGGGTGGGGAAGTGGCCTGCGGGGTCCTCAGCATTGGGGAGGGCRCCCATGGGTGTCAGCAGACAGAGGACATCAGGAATGGCCTCTACGGGAACCCAGAGATAGGGACCCTGGGGTGACACCCCGGGACAGGGTCCTGGGAATGGTCCCCCTTGGGGACACTTTTCAGAGGGAGAGCACCCAGGAATGGGGGCCCTCTGGGACGTCCCACGTGGATATCAGGAGACGGAGGGTCATGGAGCTCCAGGGGTGACACCTGCAGGTGTCCTGGGAGAGAGCACCCAGAGGACCCTAGAGCCAGAGAGCCTCCAGTTCACTGGAGAACCCCTAGAGAAGCCCTTGAGATAGCACCCATGGGTGCCCAAAAAATGGAGCTCAGGGCTGGGGCCCGGGTAGACAAGGGGGACAAGCGGAGAAGAGCCCGTCACTGCGTTGTCCCAGCCCAACCTGGTGCCCATGAGTCACCCAGAAAGAGGCCGAAACTCCCCGGAAAGGGGGTAGATTTGGGGGGGGGGGACGGACAACACYCCAAGGCGGGGCAGGACGACTGGGTCGTGACGGAGGGAGCACCATCCCGTTCTCCCCCTAATCTTATCAGGGTGCTGAGAAACGCGGCTCCCTCCCTCCCGCCCTCGTTTCGGCGATAGGAGCCGGAGCGCAGCCGGCCGCCCGGGGCCGGCCAGGCCCTTCACACCCTTTCTATTCTGGTCCTCGATAAAACTCGGTCTTTGTTGACCCAGCGCTCTTGAAGACCTCGTTGGGACGCAAAGCCGCCGGCTCCCGCTGCCTCCCGCTCATTCCTCGCGCCGCGCCCCGTCGCGCTGCTCCGGGCTCTGCCGACGGGCCAAGATGAAGCCGGGCTGTTGCTTCTTCCTCATCCTCTGCTTTGCGCCCTTGGGGGCTACGGCAGGTGAGTGAGGTCTCCACCGGGTGGGAGCGACTTGGTCTTGCCTTTCCCTTCCTGCTTGCTCCGCATGCTCCCAGGGGGATTTTAGTCCTTTCTGGGATAGCCCAAGGTCTTCTCCAGATTGCTCAGCTCTCCTGGCTTCCCCTGAGGTCCAAATCTGGGCTGGCATCGGGGTTAATCCCAGCCTGGGGTGCCCATGATGGGTTTCGTGCATCTTTTCCCACCTTGTGTGTCCCATCTTCTCTGCCCTGCCTCAATGTCTTCTCCCCTTCATCCTTCTCTGGAAAAGTCTGGGATTTGTGCCTAGGGTGTATCCTTAGGACCAGCTCTTGGAGAGGACTCCTGTAGCGGGGCCTCCAGCTCCCTCCGCCTCTGGCCCAGGACTCCGGGGCCGTTTTTGAGCCCTGTGGATGGAGGGCGATTGGTTGTGGTGAGATTGGTGGGTTGAGGATGGAGTTGGCTTTACCGAGGAGCCCGGAGTCCTCGACTTGGGCAGGACTTCTTGGTCCAAGAGTCTTAGACTTGGGCAGGACTTCTTGGTCCCAGAGTCCTCAACTTGGGCAGGACTTCTT